CTATAGAGATAGCTCAGGATAACCTAAGAATTTTTGGTGAGGTAGGAGAATAATTAATATAATGATAGATAGAATAAAAGAAGCAGAGATGTTTTTGTAGCAGAGATGATTGTGTTTCAGAATACCTTAGCCCTCCATAACAAAAGCAGAAACCCAGAGAAAATGCACATTGAAGATGATAAAACATCATTAACCATTACATAACAAGGTCTTTATCAACATGAGCTGAAGGTCCACCTAGAAAAGAAGAAGCCATCATTTTGACAGATATTGAAAAAGCCAGGGGACAGATTCTTAACCTCATCAACCTTTTTAAGAAAACCTTTATCCACTTTTGGCCATATATCACCTTTTGTTGTGTTACTAGCCACTTCTCGGTAATAAAATACATTCATAACAACAACAGATTAGGTCAAATCTTTCCAAGACAATTATCAAGCTCTAGGACCAAGCGGAAATCAGTAAAGAAATAAAAATGATATTTTTTAGCCCGATAGTCACGGTGCGCTAAGCCTAGCGCCATTCTCCCCGCTTTACAAGCTAAATCAATGGGAACTACTAGACACATAACTCCTTTCACTGTGGCTTGTACGTGTTTTTAACATGAATTAATGTAAAAAAAAGAAAACAAAGAAAATCTGTTTAGAATTTTAATGGAGTTCATGACCTACGGGGACATGACTGTAGGGGAGTGCGGCCTAATGCTTAGAGCAGTGCTTCTCGCACTCTGAGAAGGTTGTAAGTACCCGGTTCGATCCTCACAGGTGGCACTCTGGGTTCCTGAGCAAGACCCAGAAATCCACACTGCTCCCTGGGCGCCACACAGTGGCAGCCCACTGCTCCCCTCAAGGGGAGACTTAATTTCCACATTGTGGGACAATAATACATTTGATTTGATAGCAGGAAAAATATCGCAATATATGGTGATATAGTGATAATATCGTATCGTGAGTAATGTTGTGCCGATGCCATCTTTTGGTCCCTGTACCCCTGGCTGTGCAGTATCGGCCGATACCATACAGATACCATCTGTTTGAAATTGATGTGTGTATATAAGAACTGTATGTAGAACTGCATTCTGCTTGGATGTAAAATAATTGCCATCATGGCTTTGTCAAGCTGCTGCCTACCTTTGGAAGCAGGAAAAGGACTAAAACAAAGTGAATCCACTAGAACTTTTTATTGCCTACTGTCATGTTGGGTTCAAGGCATCTAACCCACATGCAGAAACACTCGTGAGACAGGGAAAAAGTTCAAAGGTTTATTTACAAAATATACAATGAGTATGAACTGGTCCTTGGTTCGGCAGACAGGTCAGGAGGGGAACACCACTGAGGAGGACAGAGAGGTTAGTGTTGATCCAGGTTAATTGCAGGTTTTCTGATGTT